AGGCCTAGTTTGCACCACATAGTTACGTTCAGGCCATTTGAAACACGCCGTGATGCCCAGCCGCATAACTGTCCTGATCTTGAATGGTGCCTCTGCAACAGAGAAAGGCGGCGTTCGGTAGAGCTACCTTGATGACGTTGACTTTGACTTTGACGGAAGCGAGCAGACTCACGTGCGGGTGCGTGCAGTTCAAACGATTCCGTTTACGAACGGAGCAATCGGAAGAATTTCCATTCATCAGAATTTCAGGTATCGTCAGCCAGTTGGTAGGTGAAGATCCTTCAAATGCTTTGATGAGCGCGAGCCATACCACGCTGCCGTTGGCGGAGCTCCGTACGCAACTGCCCTGGTCGCACTAGGGGGGCCTGGAAAGACTTGGTGCGCCGCGGTCACCGAAGAAAGTGAATTCGTCGATTAGATGCGTTGGAAATTTCACCATTCTCTTTCTTGAAACATCATCTCTCATCCTTCGCGCTTCATCACCGAGCAGAGTGACATCGCATTGTTGTACTGGTAGGACGATGGGACGATCCTCGTTGAAACTACGGGACAGGAGCGTAGCGTTAGAGCTCTCTAAGCAATGGCCGTTGGTAGATGCTGTTAACGCCCAAGGTGTGAGATAGTGTGCGCCAGAAAGTTGGTGATGGGGTAAGTGGTGTGGGTATTAGGGTTAGCCAAGGGTCGCTGTTATTGTTCCGCACGCGTGTATCGACATCTGTCTGAAGCCCAGCATTAGTGTAGCGCCTGAGATGAGTAGTGGTGATTTGGTCTTCGGCAAGATCCATGCTAGCCGATTGCGAAACTCTATTGTAGGCATCTTCTATAGGCTCCTATCCGGGTTTCGCTGTATCGGATGGGCCCTTAGTCCGTGAGCCTGTACATGGCGTGAATAGTCTTGTCGATTAAGAGAAGTTTTACTTGGTTGCGTTATCGAGCGTCTCAAACATTATGCCTCGGTCGGAAGCAAGGACCCTAAGATGAACGACTCGAAATGCTGTCGCATGGATGTGTCAACCTACACTTCAACCAATATGAGGTCTTGCGATACAGCCTATAAACGCCGAATTATGCAAGACAATTCGCTGACCAACTGCGTCTCAATCCAGAAATATACCAATCTCTTGACAATGCGGTGCTACAGGCGAATGACCAAGGGCAGACAATGACGCCCGTTGGCATCGCAAGGAACTACGATTGCGCGTAAAGTAGTTTCAGATAAGGCTTATTTCACCCAGGAACTCGGTGTCATGCTGACAATGATGCGATACGAGTGTAATCTGATTCTGGTCCTGTTCATGACTCAATTAGAAAGTCAGCACCAAATGTAGAGTGTCTACTTGAATATGCCGGCTTGGCATGAACCACTGTCAGTTTGTAAAAGCGTTGAGTTGCTTGAGGTCTGGACGTTTATGCATGCATGCAGATCTCGTGGGGGACAACAGAAGGAAGGAGACACCAGATGAGAACCATGACACTGAGCATGTCTTGGCACGCTAACCGAATGCAGGAGGAAGGGCCGTTTCATCTCGTAGACTTATCGACTTAACATATCATAGTGCTTTGAACTTACTACACTGCCTTGACTCTTGTGACCGGAAGAGGGGTTTATCGTCGTGTACCCTTCGCGAGTGTAGGCAACTGGATGCTTCACGGCCTACTTACTGCTTGGCTACTACTACTACTACTATTACTACTACTAGGTCTTTGGCTTGGACTACTACCCATTTCATCTTTTCCAAACCAAGCTGGTCTCATCAAGAACTTACTTACCCCGATCCCAACATACATCCAACTCAGCCGAATCATACACAACTCAACTATTGCAGGTCTTCGGCCGAGCTCTCATATGGATTCTATCGTCGCTGGCAATAAAACAGTCTGTACTATTGTCTTTCAATATTTTCAGAAGTTCGGCCTGAATCGCAGACAGCGATAGTGGTAGTAATACCCCACTACATCCTCTTCACCGCCTTCACTCTCCACATCCCGAGATCATGATGCGAACCTCAGCCCGATCTGTCGAACATGGAAATTTCGGGTATCTCGAATTCCTTCAGCTCAATCTGTAGACACGCGTCTGGGAAGTCATGAGCTTCAAACTTACATCAAAAGAAGTCAGGGATATCATCGTGCAAACCGCATCTCACTACACCCCTCACAACATTACAGCGAAGTAAATCCGGAAACCCCAATATTGACATTACAGCGAAATAAAAACCTGAAACAACAGCATCTCCGTCACCACCATACGTCCATCATTACAGTCTATAACAGCTTTGAGTTTGTCTTTTCTGCGGTATTCACATAAACTTTCGGTTATAGTTGTCATGTTATCCAGCCTATCCAATCCAATCCACCGCGCCCATCACCGTACCACGCCGTAGTAGATAAAACCCTGTACCCACCG